TGGTGCGTGGTGCGTGGCGCGTGGTGCGTGGCGCGTGGCGCGTGGCGCGTGGCGCGTGGCGCGTGCGCGTGCGCGTGCGCGTGCGCGTGCGCGTGCGCGTGCGCGTGCGCGTGCGCGTGCGCGTGCGCGTGCGCGTGCGCGTGCGCGTGTGGGTGTGTGTGTGTGTGTGTGTGTGTGTGTGTGTGTGTGTGTGTGTGTGTGTGTGTGTGTGTGTGTGTGTGTGTGTGTGTGTGTGCGTGTGCGTGTGCGTGTGCGTGTGTGTGTGTGTGTGTGTCTGTGTGTGTGTGTGTCTGTGTGTGTGTGTGTCTGTGTGTCTGTGTGCCTGTGTGTGTCTGTGTGTCTGTGTGCCTGTGTGTGTGTCTGTGTTTGTCTGTGGCTGTGTGTGTGTGTGTATGTGTGTGTGGGTTGTGTGCGCATGCACTTTGTGTGCGTGTGTCGTTTGTGTATGTGTGCTTGCACTCTGCGTGTGTGTGTGTGTGGTCTGTGAGTGTGTGTGTGTGTGTGTGACAACCGGCCGGTGGCTAAGCAAGCAAACTGACGTGCCTCGCACTCATGCACCGGTTCCTGGGGCGTGGCTGGGGGACTTCCATCATGCGGAAGCAGTGCTTTGACATCTGCCATGTTTGGTTCTGGCTGCGCACTGGTTTTGAGCGAAAACAGCAATGTTACTCAGCATCGTGCCATCCGCGGAGGGACCTCAGCTGCACATCTCTGCCAATTAGTCAAATAGTTGAGCAGACTGCTTTTTTTAAAGAAACTTGTGCAAAACTGTGCAACCTGTCAGAGTGTTGCCCATCCTTATCAGAGGTAACTTGCCTGCAGCATTTGCAAGTGCGATTCGCATGCACTTGTTGCACATGCATGGTACAAACGCCTTCACGAAAGCATCCTCACATGGTCAGGAACCTGAACGTCTGGGGCCGTGACCAACATGGCAATGGTGTCTGAGACACTTCAAGCCCAAACACGGCGCGAGCAGCAATGACGCAGCAAGCACTTGCAAACGCAAGGCCCGGGCAGGGTGCACCTGTGCCAGTGCTGATATTTTGGCCCCGACCGAGATGAAGCAAACAAATGCACTGGCGAACTAAATGCACTTTGCCCCGACCGAGGTGAATGAGCAGGACTTACTCCATGCTGTGGCAAGAAGCCCTGCCGCTCATTTTCCGGCGAATGGGGCCCTTGCCGGCAGCTCCCCAAGGGCCACTCCGCCTCGGCAATCGGGCAGCTAAGGGACAAGACAACCTGGCCTCCTCCCTTGCAAGCCTCCAAGATGGGCATTCACATCAGAATCTGAACAAGACGTGACCCCAAACTTCATGTCTAAAAATATGTGTGTGTGTGTGTACACACATATACATATATAGATATATATATATATGTGCGTGCATGTAAACTTGTAAATACATACGGATACACGTCATACACGCACGCATAAATATCGTAGGACCTGCAAAAAGGTGGTCGTGTTGCCCATCAAGTGTGGACAGCTCCCTGTGCCCCAGTTTGTCCATCAAGGCAGCTCTCGTGAAAAACCAGCTGCCATCTAGACTGGCTGCAAAGCCGCGACAGGCTGGCCTCAGGGCGTGAAAGGGAAGTGGTGGGCGTTGAAGAGCACACCCTGGGTCAAAGCACCGCTGATGGCCAGCATAGCGAGGCGGCCGTTCTTGAGCTCCTTCATCTTCATGCTCTCCATGCCCTCAGCTGAGGATGGCGCAAACATCCTCAAGCCCAGATCCCCAGCGTTCTCGGCGGTCAGGCTCTCAAAGGCAAGGCCGACCTGCTTGAAGCGGAGGGACTCGATCACGCCGCAGGCAAGCAACAACCACCACATGGGGCCCTCGCCCAGGCCAGGACCAATCAGCTTGTTGTGGGCGGTCAGCAGGTCAAGGCTGGGGTCCTGCACTGCCTCGAAAGGCAAACGCACCGCATCAGGCACGATCAGGCCGACATAGGCGAGCATAGCCACACGTCCGTGCTTGAGCTCTGCCTCGCGGAACCAGCCGAGCAGCTCGGGGTAGCTAGTTGCAAAGCCTGCAGGGTCAAACTGGTACTCGCCCCAGCCGTGCAGCTTGCTGCCAGCCATTCCTGCGGCGAACTCAGCGCGGCGGACCACACGCTGACGCTGGCTCACTCCCATGCTTGCAGCCGTGCCCACCATGGTGGAACGAGAGCCAATGCCAGACTGCTTTTCACTGCGCAAAGCGCTCATGAAAGGGAAGTGGTGGGCGTTGAAGAGCACACCCTGGGTCAAAGCACCGCTGATGGCCAGCATAGCGAGGCGGCCGTTCTTGAGCTCCTTCATCTTCATGCTCTCCATGCCCTCAGCTGAGGATGGCGCAAACATCCTCAAGCCCAGATCCCCAGCGTTCTCGGCGGTCAGGCTCTCAAAGGCAAGGCCGACCTGCTCGAAGCGGAGGGACTCGATCACGCCGCAGGCAAGCAACAACCACCACATGGGGCCCTCGCCCAGGCCAGGACCAATCAGCTTGTTGTGGGCAGTCAGAAGGTCAAGGCTGGGGTCCTGCACTGCCTCGAAAGGCAAACGCACCGCATCAGGCACGATCAGGCCGACATAGGCGAGCATAGCCACACGTCCGTGCTTGAGCTCTGCCTCGCGGAACCAGCCGAGCAGCTCGGGGTAGCTAGTTGCAAAGCCTGCGGGGTCAAACTGGTACTCGCCCCAGCCGTGCAGCTTGCTGCCAGCCATTCCTGCGGCAAACTCAGCGCGGCGGACCACACGCTGGCGCTGGCTCACTCCCATGCTGGCAGCCGTGACGGCACCAGCACCGGCCAGGCCCAACATGGTGGAACTGAAGCCATTGCCGGACTGTGTCTGCTGCGCACCGCGCAGCCCTGTGGCAACCTGCGGACTTGCCTGGTGAGGGGCCTGCCCAGTCACAAAGCTCAAGCCGGATGACACGGCACAGGCGCCCACTCCGGCAATGGCGAGGGCCAGCAGGCTGCTCTGCTTCTCTGCCATGGCTTTTCGGATCACCGAACTGGGAGTGGTCTGAGCCCCTACTGCGGGCAAACACCTCAACTCTGCTGTGCCTGTGGTGCGGAGCATTGGCCCAGCAGTCGGAGCTCAGCCAACATCTTGAGCTTCAGGCTGGACTTGCACCCACACTGGCGCGGCGTTGAGCCAGTTCAGCCAAAGTCAGAATGCGCAAACAGTCACCGCGCAGCGACACGACCTACAGAGCAAAAACATTGACAGTGACCCTGTGCAATTCTCGCAAAAAGGAACACCAAAGGGATGCCAAGGCAGTAACTCCGATTGTCACAAGCAGCTTCCATCAGTCGCATCAAGCACAACTTGACCCCCACTGCACGCCATTTTGCAAACTCGCTACGAGCTGGTGCTGCGCCAACCTTGGCCGAGACACCCCCCCGGCCCAAACAAAGCCAGCCGTTGCCGTGTTGCTGGGCAACACCCTGGATGCGACTCGTTTTTGTGTGCCGCTTGAAAGGCTCGTCATTTTGCAGCACCCTCCTGGCAAAACTCGAGGTAGGCGCACCTTCCGGAAGGCATCCAGCACCCGCTGGAGGCTCTGCGCATCAGCACCTTCCATTTGGGTGCCATCACTGTCAAGCCGTCCCGCAGAAATCTTCAACGAGTGGCGCTCCTGCACTCCAATCATCTCAAGCCAGCTTTAAGGCTGCATGGTCAAAATCCAAATCGTACCCCCAGTGAACATCCCAATCCAACCACTACAATAGGTTCTAAAATGGGTGGTGAATTCACCTACCAACCAAAATGGGATCCCAAAACGGTTTTGACAACCACGGCCACATGGGTGTGTCTTTCTTGGAGGGGGTCCCTCCTTTTCATTGGTCTTTAAAGGGAACCAGGAGGTTTCTGCTCAACATGAAATGCCGGTGCCTTGCAGCTGGCCCATCAGCTCCGGCTTCGGCTCCACCCGGCTCTCAAACATCAACTCCAAGACCTGCCACAAGGAGCTCCACGTCCCCAACACCCGGTGGTTTTCTGTGGTTCCCTGTGGGTTCCCTGTGGGTTCCCTGTGGTTGCTCGTGGGTTCCTCGTGGCTCCCAGTTCTTCCCAAGTGGCTCCGAGAGGCTTTGGGCATCTTGCGCCGTCAGGTCGCGATGGAAGTGACGTGTCGTACACAGCTTGGAGAAACGCAGCCTTGCATTCTGACGGGCCTCCAGGCCTGTCTGCAACTGAGTGTTCGTTGGCTTAGTTTCTGGGGCGAGACAGGCTCAGCGAACAAGAAGCATCTCTCTCTCTCTCTCTCTCTCTCTCTCTCTCTCTCGTGCCATCGAATGATAAGGGCGTCTGTCCCATTTGATTGGAGAAGTTATGGGCCATGAAGTGAGCCATCTTGGGCATTGATCAGACTGCCATGCTATAAACAGGCACCGTTTTCACCCATGTCGACCACGATGAACAGACAGAACAGCCTGCTTTCCAATGCTTTCCAAACATGCTCGAAGTTCGTAGAGGGCTGCCCAAGCGGCGAAGCGGGGTGGAGAATTGAACCAGGCTTGCGCACAAACTTCCGAAACGGCTGCTTCCGGATGTGGGAACTTTGCCTTTCAAGAGGCACCCGTACCCTCACGCACGTAGAAGGTTCTTTGAGAGACTCAGATTTCACGTTTCGGGCGCAATTTATGTCTTGTGGCTCGGGGCCACGGGGGCTCCACCAAATCGTTGCCTTTGTTTTGCCCTTTTGCGACAAAAAGAAGCGAAGGACAAAAAACGAAGGGAGCAACACCTGACAATGGCTCGATGTTCGCCACAAGAGGCCTCTCTTCCCGGTGCCGGAAGCCCTGCCTGCCGCATGAAGGCTAGGTCCTGCAGATTCACTGCAACCTGCAGGGCCGACCTGGGTTATCTCAGGTTTCCTCCACTTGGTGGTTGGGATTAGTGGTTTGGTGGTGAGGGGTGGTTTCCCATCACCCTCTATAAGAACCAGAGGTTCAAATCCCAATCCACCAATCTAAACCCATTTCAATATGGTGACCTTACAGGCGTCGAGCATGCGAATCACCTTGAATTCTACAATGGGAGCCGTCATTGTCTTTCCAACCCATGGCATGATGGCAAGCATGGATTCCTGCAACCGCATTGAAAACAAACAAAGCAAAATAAAATAGACAAAACAGTACAAATACACAAACAAACGAACACAGCGCGACGCTGTAGCACTACTCGACACGCATGACCGAGAAGACTGATAGGTCCAATTCATGCTGATAGAATAGGCCGTGGGGTGAATGCTCGCAAGAAAGTCGGCCTCGCCGGGCCCCCCGGCTGCAACAACTCTCCGCTTGGCCCTGAGGGTCGCACAACAAAGCTGGCGGGCATGCAACGTGGGAAGGCTCGTGCGTTTATCTATCGATAAATACAATATGTAGATATACACACTAGATTTTATATATATATATATATATATAATCTTATTCAAATTTATTGAACCCAAAAACTGTACCTGCAGCATGCACTGGAAGGTTGAAAGAATGCGTCATTCAATAAGTAGCAGACAAGCCAGACAATGGTGCTGCAAGTTTGGGACGCTTAGAATCGCTAAATGGATACTAATCTTAATGGCGCACGGCACATCATTTGCAAAAGACCATGTCCACCAATCATTTCGGAGAGGACACCTTGAAATCCAAATCACAGCCAAACCGTCTGCTGGCTTTTTATGTCACCGGCGCTTGCCCCAAGAGATGCCCACATTCGGCTTGACCCAGCTTCTAGCTTCTAGCTGCAACCGATGATTCAACCTGGGCGCCGCGCGCACCGACGACGACCGCAGCATCTGGGACCACAAGCGCCGGAAGTGGTGCGGGCTGGCGGTTTCCAGCGCCTTGGACTTCCAAACGAGGGCCAGCCATGGCCACGTTTGAACCGTGCGGAAAGCTGACTAGTCAAAGGCCCCATTGGCAGCCACATAGGCCCCCAGCACTCAGCACCAGCGCATATGCTGTCTCATCAGCCTCGATGCCAAGCTCGCTCGAGCCTGGGCAGAAGTGCCCCGCAACGTCAAGCCTGTGTGACAGCAATCTATTTAAGTAGGTGAACTTAGAAGGTTTAGCCCTGCGATAAAATAAAGCGATATCTTCAAGAAACTGAAGTGTCAGTCCGATTAATTGAAAGCTTGGCTGTGGACAAGATATATTAGTGCTTGGCTGAACCGAGATGTGTACCTACATGCGTGTGATGCAGCAAAAGCCCTCATCTGAGACCTCCTTGATGCCACGACGAAGGCATAGCTCCAAACAAACACTCTACCAAACCATGCGTCCGTGCAAAAAAACACACTACACCCCCGGCATGCTCAGCATAGAAAGCACATCAAGATCCTTTATGCTTTCTCCCGTGCAGGCCAGGCCCATTTACCTCGAGCGCAATTTGACCTCCTGAAAGAGCTCCCAGGGAAAAGGAAAGCCAAAGGAAGGTGTCATTCTCAAGTTGGTCCATCATCGCCAGAATCGCCAACACTACCGCCACCACTACCGCCACTCTCCTCCTCCTCCTCCGCCTCCTCCCTCCTCCTCCTCCTACTCAGCATCATCATCATCCTCATCACCACCATCATCACCATCATCACCATCATCCAGCGACGGCGTACGCTCGAGCACATCAACACGCTGACACTAACCCGGTGGCCCCCAGTTCCAGAAAGAATGCAAATAATAAACTTCAGTCGTTCCAATGGCCCGTGACATGGCAAGGCAAAATTTCACTCCCCCGCCCGGGGATGCCGACTCATGGAAAGCAGCTCTTCTGCATGGCTGGCCTGATCCGGGAGGGCAAACCAAGCAAGCCCACGCACTGACCAGCAAGCCCGAACCAAGGCGGGCAATCGGGGCGCCCAAGGCGGTCGCCAAGCCGCAGGAGCAATAGGCTGCCAGCCTGGGCTCCAAAAGCGAAACGAGTGACTGACTGCTGCGGCATTGGCAGTGCACAAGTCTTGCTGCTGAGCCCTGCCAAAAGGATCGAACAACACGAGTAAAAACCTCAATCAGAGAAGGACACCCCAGCGGCCCAAACCCGATCGCTCAGGTGGCGGCAGCGCGTGCAAAAGCTCCGGTGCCATCCTGCCCGTGTCCCGCGCCTCCTGGGCCTCTCGCCAGGCCTCGCGTCGAGCCGCTTACATGGCCCTGGACACGAAGGACCGAGCATTGCAATCCGTGGGGTGGGCTCTTGTGGATGGGCTCCCGGCGTTGGAAAGAAGCTGCGCCCTCTCACCTGCATACGCCAGCGAGTGACAGGCAGTTCTGCCCTGCAACCCTTCTTCTTGCTTGCGATGTGACGGCACTCCCATCACGAGCAAAAGCTGAGGAATAACTTGCAAGTAGCCGGGTTTGCACCCAACAGCAGCCCTTGCAGAATGGCTGGAACCCTAGCCTTGGTGAGGTACCCCGCATTATCCCTACAATAAATGAAGCGAATATAAAGCCTTGCTCCAACGCGGTTGGCTGAAGCCATGGCAGCACATCGTCATGGCCATGTTCGGCTGGCACCTTTAAACAGTTGTTCAAAACATGATGCATTAGCAAGCACTCAACATGGAGAAAAAATGAGAAAGCGGGTGTGTCTTCCTTTAAGGGGAAACCAAAAATTGGGGGGGTCCCTTTTGGTTTTCTCTCGCAAACCCAACCACAAGAGGCTTACCCTCAAAAAAGCCAAGGCAATGTGAGCGAGCACCTTTGGCCACGGCGGCGCGCTGCCCGAAGGCGTGAACCAGGTCCGACCGAATGCCTGGCAAGCGTGTCTATGGCAAGCTTGAAGCAAACCTTTGTCAATCTCTCAAGCATACCGACAAACCAACCAACCAACCAACCAACCAACCGACCAACCAACAAATAAAGAAGAAAGCAAGCAAGCAAGCAAGCAAGCAAGCAAGCAAGCAGGCAAGGCAAGGCAAGGCAAGGCAAGGCAAAGCAAAGCAAAGCAAAGCAAAGCAAAGCAAAGCAAAGCAAAGCAAAGCAAAGCAAGCAAGCAAACCCAAGCAAGCAAGCAAGCAAAGCAAAGCAAAGCAAAGCAAAGAAGCAAGCAAGCAAGCAAGCAAGCAAGCAAGCAAGCAAGCAAGCAAGCAAGCAAGCAAGCAAGCAAGCAAGCAAGCAAGCAAAGCAAGCAAGCAAGCAAGCAAGCAAGCAAGCAAGCAAGCAAGCAAGCAAGCAAGCAAGCAAGCAAGCAAAGCCAAGCAAGCAAAGCCAAGCAAGCAAGCAAAGCCAAGCAAGCAAGCAAGCAAAGCAAAGCAAAGCAAAGCAAAGCAAAGAAGCAAGCAAGCAAGCAAGCAAGCAAGCAAGCAAGGCAAGGCAAGGCAAGGCAAGGCAAGGCAAGGCAAGGCAAAGCAAAGCAAAGCAAAGCAAAAAGCAAGCAAGCAAAGCAAAGCAAAGCAAAGCAAGCAAGCAAAGCCAAGCAAGCAAGCAAGCAAGGCAAGCAAGCAAGCAAGCAAGCAAGCAAGCAAGCAAGCAAGCAAGCAAGCAAGCAAGCAAGCAAGCAAGCAAGCAAGCAAGCAAGCAAGCAAGCAAGCAAGCAAGCAAGCAAGCAAGCAAGCAAGCAAGCAAGCAAGCAAGCAAGCAAGCAAGCAAGCAAGCAAGCAAGCAGCAAGCAAGCAAGCAAGCAAGCAAGCAAGCAAGCAAGCAAGCAAGCAAGCAAGCAAGCAAGCAAGCAAGCAAGCAAGCAAGCAAGCAAGCAAGCAAGCAAGCAAGCAAGCAAGCAAGCAAGCAAGCAAGCAAGCAAGCAAGCAAGCAAGCAAGCAAGCACAAAAAGACGAAAACAAAAGAACAAGTCACCAGTCCAAGTATGCACTTGAACAAGCAGCCTGTTTTCATTATCTGACACGCTGCGTTGCCGCAATGTTGTCCTCGCGAAGAGAAGGGCACGAGCCTGCATCGAGTTCCAAGCCGGCAGCCTGCCAAAGAGTTTCAGTCGGCTTTCGAACTTCCACGCGTCCTATCACCAAAAAAATCCCAACTGGCCCATGATGATTCAACAAGGAAATTTGTAATGACCACCGCCAAACCCATGGCGACTCAGCGCGGGACCAGCATCCGGCGCCGCAGCAGCTTCGCCTAACGGGGACAAAAGGACAAGCACAGGCCGCGAGGTTTGGGCGTCAGTTGCACCCAAGCAAATGCCAGCCAGCCTCCTCCGCGTGCCCGCCCTGTGCACACGCCCGCGCCAATGCCACGCAGAGGCGCTTTGAAGGACTGGCAAGGCAATCAAAGGATTAGGCACACGAACGGACGGAAAGCTGGTGGTGGCCAGCAAACTCTGATTTCAGCGACTGCAGCCTTCCAGTGGCTGACTTGTTCACCCTCCATCACTTGAGAGAGGGCAGACCGAAAGTTGGCACGGACGACTTGCCAGAAGTGCGCTTCAAACAAATCCTCTTCGTAGGTCTCCCCCCCGCATGCGAACCGCCGCAATGACAAATCTAAGCAGGCCAAAAGCACGCTTGCGGGAAAAATGCAACAGCAAACCAGTCCAGCCGAACAAAGCAGGGACCTCGACAAGGCAAGCCTAAACGGACAGCAAAGCATGCGCTCGGGCAATGTGTCATGGCAGCATGTGGCAAGAGAACTCAGCCGTACAAGGCGGGAATCGAACTCCGATGCGCTTCACTTTTGTGCCAGCCAAGAAAAACAGGCAAAGCTCATTGAGCCGGCTTCGGGACTTCGGGATGGACCCATGGAGATGGCTAGCTCATGGCACACACGTTCTGAGTTGACACTTTTCGACTTGGACCAACTGCGGTGCCTCGCCCCGCTGCGAGCAGCCTGGCCGCGCGAATGTCACGAAAAGGGCCGAAGCTAAGGCAGCCTTGGCCCGCGATTCCATACTTGTTGACATCACCCCGTTCAACTAGAGTTGCACTACAATATTGGCCCCGTTCTCAGCAACAAATGCTTCTTCCCTGGGGAGGCATGTGGAGATATGTGCAGTAAAGAACCCCGCTGCCTCGCACCAGTTCCAATCAACTCAACGGTCAACTCCCCATTGCCACCTCGCCAGCTTTGGCGAAAGCGCGCCGGGCTGTGCGGCGCCGGCTTGCCAGCGCCACCGCCTGAAAACCCGGTTGCCGCTGGTTTCCCGTGGTAAAAGACCAGCAATTGTCGTGAGACATTCTCATTTGGATGCCTTTTTGGGTGGGTTCTGGTATTACTTGATTTGTGGCACAACTCTCCCCCAGTCAGTAGGTTGGGTCAGCCTCCCTTAAACTCTAGGCCCCCCTCAACCAAGAGCCCGATGTGTCTGAGCCCCGCGAACATGCGGGGCACTTGGATGGTTTGCAGTGGCACCGGAGTAACTCCATGCCGGGCCCCAAGCCAACTCCGCCACGGCATCCTCCGTGGGCTCGTGCTTCGAGGCCTTGGGAGAGACAGTAGGGCTGTTCCTCTGGAGAAAAGGCTCTGGGGTCGAACAGGGCGTGCCACTCGATCGGGTCAAAAGGGAAAAGTGTGGCAAGGGTTTGCTCAGGTGGCACCAAGCCGAATGGTCACTTGACGCCCCGGCGAGCTCCTCAAACAGACCTTCTGCTTGTTCAGGGTCCTGGACTTTTTCCATGCCACAGGCCGTCGTGGCCCAATGGAGCAACACATCGCATCAAGTCCACATGAATTTTAATGTGACATGGATGGCAACGTCAAGAAGACGGGCTTCAAGAATGCTCGAGGAAGGTCCAGGGCTTTCAGGTCGAAAGATGCGTGACCACTCCACGACCACTCCGCGACCGCTCCTTTTCCTTGCATCACAACAGCCCCTAGGGAGCTCAGGGCCCTTAGGGCCACGAGATTGGACGGATGCGCTCAGCATCTTGGATCATTAGCAGCCGAGGCAAGGCAAGGGGAACCATCTGAAAACAGTGCTTTCCACGGCAAAATAGCACCAAGCCACTTCTTCCGGAGAGCGGCAAACAAAAAAGAATGTTTGCTGTGCCGCATCATCATGGCCCACTAGGCCACTAGGCACACACTGCGCTTCGCGCGTGAGGCACTCACCACCTAGTACTCGGACACCTGGAACTGCACCTCAGCGCCCCACTCTAGGGCCATGTCTGGAAGGGGCCCTGAAAGTGAGCAGACTCTTTCATTGACGGCTTTTTGTTGAGGGAAACCCTCCGCAACGACACGTTGCAACGGGCCACCGCGCCTGGTTGGTGACCACAATCGGGTATGGGTGGCCATAGTTCCCCATCCTTGGTGCTCAGACCGCGACTTGCGAACAATGCTGTGATTCACCAAGAAGCACAAAATCAGTCAGCTAACTGGGTTCAGAAGAATGATAAGAGGTCGGAACGCTGTCTGCCAAGTAGCTCATCCATGCTGGCACCGAAGTTGCCTCACGCTGCGACCATGATTTCCACACACCATTTCTGTGCTGGCCAACGGTGAGGGGCTGACAACACCGGCTTTCATTCACCATCTATCTGCTGGGCAGCATCTGCCAAGTTGAAGCCCAAACATTCCCCAAATGCTGTCCAGTGACCGAGGTCATCCAACTCAACAGAGATGGTGATGTTCTGTCCACGGCAGCCCTGAGCAATATCACTGATGGAAGCTTCGAGCCACGGTGAACAAACCTTTTTGCAAAGCAACAAACTGTGCGCTTCCAAGGAACACCGCCAGAATGGTAGAACAGCCGCCCCAGCTGCAAGTTCAGGTTTTTCAGAGTGGAGGTGATGTCCATGTCCTCACGTCACGTGTGTGCCAACAAAAACTTAGTCCCTCAAACTTGTCCGGCACTGGGACTCTCGGTGAGGCAGCATGGCAGGCTTCGCTCTGAGGGCCGAGCTGTGTCATGAAACCCATCGCCACTGTGGAAGGTGATGCCTTCCGTGCCCGCAATGGAGCCATTCTGCACACCTCAAAAAATGGCCATGAGAGACGCACCAGCAGCAAGAATGATTGCGGGCACGCAGAACCGGGGCAGGGCGGCAGCATGGGGGGACGGATAAGCCAATAAGCTTCTGAAGCACATTGTGCCTCCCTAAAACTCAGGAAAGCAGTGCTATTCTCTGTAGTTCTCTTAAGCCAGCCCGGATGTTGGATGCGAATGCTCTGCAGCCCTGTCACCAAAGACATAGTCCTGTGGCCCTGCAATAAGAAATGAGATGGTCCCGCAGGATGCGCGCAGCTGGAGTCGAGCAGAGTGGACGCGCTCAACGAACCAACCACCCGAGAAGTCCTCTTCATCTGGATCTGACCTGAGAGCCACACTCCAGAATCGCCCGCAGCACTTAATCCATTACCCTGCCCTGGATCTGCGTCTCTCTGCTAGTGTAGCTTCTATATAGACACGGGCTTACTTGCCGCAATGCACTACTCTAAGAACCCAGGACCATTCCTTTTGAGCATACCCCAAAAATACGTGTTTTAGCATATTTTGGGCTATTTTGGGCATGTTTGACAATGATGCTCGCAAGGTAAGGTGCAAAGCTATTAATTCGATTAGGGACAGCCAAGGGCGCAGCGAGGGTTTAACTTGCTCTGATGGACTCTGCAAACAGGCTTGGGATTAAAGCTGCTACGTTAATTTTCGGTGATGATGAGAACTCATTTCGGCTTCCGAACAAGGGTAAGCACGGGGTTAGTTTAGGCCCCAGGGGACGCCCCAAGGGTAGCCATGTCCTCAATTCTCCAATCCTGGGAACAGGAGTTGGGGGCGGTTTGGGAGTCTTTTCTCCCGGAAACATTAACAATATACCCCGAACCTTGCCAATTTGGGGTATGCTCAAATCAGGGCCCAATTTCCACGGCATACGCAGCCTGACTTGAGCTTACCCCAACCCCACCATTCCACCAAAACACACATTCCGGACCCTGAAGCTGGGGACCTAGTGAAGGGGGGAAGCCGACCGCAGTGCCATGCCATAGTTTCCCACAACAAGTGCTTTTTCGGTGGGACAGGTCCCAGGATTGGTTGGAACAGCTTTCACTGCAGTTTACAAAAGCTGATCCGGGTTTCCATCATGTGCAGAACCATGCTGGCCACAGCAAGGGATCAAATCAGGCGCAGAATTGGTAAGCAGTTCTTTGAAAGCTCTCCTTTTTTTTAATTTTGCGTTGACCCTTCACCGGCCACAGAAAGTGCATAGCAAAAACCTGCGTGATGCAAATTGGAGTAGGCTAAAACCTTGAAAACTGTGCCAAAACTGGTCGGGGTATGGTCCAAAGGTATGGTGTAGAGTTCTTAGAACTACACATCCTGCGAAAGCTAGGGCGGTCCATCTGCGGTCCACGCGGCAGCTGGATGACTCCATGAAGAGGAATCTCTTTGTGCGGTTTCACAATGCCCCCATTTGTCCCGGCCAGAAGGCGTTTGTCGTCGACACGGATCACGGGTGGTGTGTTGACAGGGTGCACGATCAACCCGATCTCACATTTGGTGCGCTCGTGGGTTTCCTGCGCAGCCACCCGAATCTCCAGGTGCACAACTCCATGATACAGCTCCTCAGCGGAAGGAAACGCAAAGCCAACTGGGTGGAAAATGAATGTTTGACTACCCCCCCATTTGAAATAGACCTCAGGGTTCAAGTCCAAGTGCCATTAGGTAGGCAAAAAGTGGATCTGATCCGATGAACCCCTGAAAGTGCGAATGCTGGGCTGCGAGCATGAAACATATCATGTACCTTGTGCAAGTGCCGACAAAACACCGCAAACATCCGTGCCACGATCTCCTGCTGTTCGTGCGGCCATCCCTCAATACAAACCCTTACCATGGTCGCAGACTTCAATGATTCAAGGTTGCTGGCCATGCGCCGAACTCCAACACGGCGGGAGTTTCTTGCAACCTGCCCCTTGCAACACGAGTCCCGGCAAGGCATGGCAAGGCGAGGCGCGGGGTACGGCGTGAAGCTCAGGGCCTTCAAGGCAGCTCTGAAGACGGCCAGCGACGTGTTGAAGATGAAGCCGGGCACACCTCGAGCCGGGAAGCTGCCCCGGATTTAGAAGAAAAACTGATGGCTCATTGTCTTGTAGCTTTATTGAAGATGGACAACTGGTATTGGCATTTGATGATAAAGCCATATCATGAAATGGAAAGAGTTCAATTGAAATAACATATTCTTGTGCTTTTTGGAATAGGAAGTTAATCTTGGAGTCGAATCGGAATAAAATCAAAGCAATATGAAATTGGTATCATGGAATGTTTGTTGCTTATGAACTCCACCAGACATGGCGCCTTTTCACTCCTCACATCGGTATGTGCCCCCTGGGCAGCTCATAGCCAAAATGGCTGAGAATGGTCAGACATGGAAAACAACGCTCACCGTTGAGGTCAAGAGCCGATTTCATTCCACAGCTCACTTAAAATTCTTGTTGACCTCAACTACACTCCATCTGCCGGAATCCAGCAAGTCGCTCAGGGGCTCGGAGTTCCCACCTCTTTTGGTGAGGACGTCCGCTATCATAGCCGGATCAGGCACCCATTTCACGCGGGCTCCTGATTCACGAAGATGTTGTTGAATCACCTGCATCTCGATGGCGGTCCGCTTGTCCGCCGCATATCCCGAGGACTCCTTCGTGAGGTGATCGAGGATCGACCTGGCATCGGTGATAGCCAGGTTCTTCAGTTCCTCGGATGAGCCGGCTGACGCATGAGACTCCATGCGTTGGTTCTTCAGATGCTGCTGCCACTCCTTCATGTCGAAGTGGGGGTCCACCAACTCCTGAAACACCGTCACTGCCCACATCAACTCCGACAGCCCCCGAGACATCGCCTGCGTCTCCGCCGCAAGCGTAGAATTGACTACTCTGTGGATCTTGGAGCTCTTCCAGTGCAGCAGATTGCACTTTCCAACTTCTCCGCGGGCCACCTTTCTCTCATAAGCCACAATGCAAAACCCACCTTGAGATCGGCCTCCTCGCACGTTAGCGTAGCTGGCGTCAGTGATGACACCCCAGCACAGTTCATCCTCGGCAATGTGCTGAATGCGTAGCTCACGTCCAGCTGATTCCTTCATCTTCTCGATGCACTTGTTCAAGTCAACAATATCTTCCACGGTCAGCGTCTTGAGGCTCGAAGCGATCAAACTGGCGGTAGCTGCTCCATCCGGCCTTCCTTCCTTGGCAGCCCAAGTCAGGGCTCCCACCGCCGCACGGGCTGCCTCCCGCTCCGCCTGGGTGGCAGGTTCTTTCAGCATAGACTTCCGACCGCGTTCCAGCTCCACCGGAAAGAGGCGCTCTGTGATGAGCTTCTTCATGTCGATGAGAAATCCTCCCTTCCCATCGCTTTTCAACCGCCGACCATTGAAGGATACACCCGCCAGGGACTCATTAAGGAAGACGAACTTTCCAAAGGTGAACTTCTTCCGCAGCTGCTCAATGATCTGGAAATAGGTGTCGCCACCCATGCACAACAAGTCGTCCACTTCTACAACCACCAACCCCGACAGCTCCTTCTTATAGCCCCTCTCCTTCTCCTCGGTGTAAAGCGCAAAAGTGCATGGATCCACCTTGGATTGAGAAAAGCCCAAGGACAGCAACACCTTCTTGAGACTGCATCTCCAATGGGCTGGAGCATCTCCCAAGCCATACGCCCCCGCCAGGATCTCAATGAGTTGCTCCTGATGTAGACCAGGGAGACCTCCTCGTGGTTGCGAAGCAAACAATCTGCCTTCAGCTCGCTTGAGCCGCTCGGACTGCATGAAGGCATTCTTCAAGTCTCCAACCGCCGTCTTCCACTTCTTGCACGCAGCCAATTGCATCGCGATAGCCACGTTGCTGGTCGTAACGGTGGGAGCGTGTCGATCTAGCAACAGCAGATCGGGATCGCGATCTCCTCGCACACACCACCTTGACTTCTTCGTTGGGGGTTGTCCCGGTTGATCTGCGGGCTTCCACCTCCTAACAACTCGAGACGGTAGAATACGCGCTGTGAGGTTGGCCTCATTGAGCTGTTCTCGAATCTCACGCGATTCCTCCACCGAAAGCTCCTTGACGGCTTCCGTGGCTCGCACCTTGCTCCACTCTTCTCCGTCAGCAACTCGCCAACCTTCCCAATCTTCTGGCGAAATTTCCTCCTCTCGGACCTCGTCGGATCCTTTCTTCACCAAGCAGAGCAGCTCGTCGTCCTTGCCCTGCACGTAGAAGTCGGTGTAGCCTCGCCACCAGATTGGAGGACCTTCCGCCACGTAGGTTCTCCAATTCCCCTTCTGAACATATGTACCACCTCCAGAAACTTCCATGAACGTCCTCCGGACCGACTTGAGCCTGTTCGGCGGTATTGGACATCCTCGCTGCAGTGATGGCACAAATCCACCAGCTCTCTCCGCTTGATGCACCCGCCGGAGAACCCGCTGCTGGGGTATGTACTCCCAGTAGTCATCAAGAGGTACGGTCTGCTGCTCCACCACCTCTTTCAGCTCGTCCGTCACGCACCACAGTCCAGTGTCATAAGGGTCGTCGTGCAGTCGGGGCCTCACCGGTCCATATCCTCCATGCTCTCCGGATGCTTCTGCGGTGTCACCTCCGTCCATGTCTGGTGGAGTTCATAGTGGTAGCGGAGCCTCTGCGGAGGCTCAGGGAAGTGCGAATGGTCAGACGACAGAGGGGTTTCGAGACCGCGACCCACCACCCAAGTTCGCTGGAGAGTCACCAGAGGAGTTTCGCAGGTGGCTTCGTGATCTGGCGCTGTGGAGGCATGAGACAGACGTGATCCCGACCAAGCAGGGCACCAAGTTGTTTCGCAGCCTCAGTGGCCCTGCAAGAGATGCGGTGGATGAGCTGCCGGTGGAGACGCTTATCTCGGAGCGCGGTGTGGAGGCGATCTTGGAGAAGCTGAAGGAGCACTATCAGCCATATCTGGAGACAGCCATGCCAAAGGGGCCATCTACGGGGAGACGCGCAAGGGCAAGGAGCAGTTGAGTGAGTACATCATCCGGGTTGAGGCGGCCTTTGCAAGGCTGCAGGAAGAGGGCGTCAAGCTGCCAACCGAGGTGAAAGGCGGCGCTCACGAGTGTGCAGGAAGATCAGGTGACTACGTGGACTTCGGGGAAGTACGACCGGGAGACGGTGGTCGCGGCATTGCGGAAATTAGAGAAGGTGCAGAAGGAGAAGGGAGGTCGTAACTATCTCGTGGACGGTCACGAGGGCACGACCGAGGTCGGGCACGAGGGCACGTTCTTGGCAGAAGAGGATGATGGCTCCGAGGACGGCTACATCTACCTTGGAGAAGGGGACTTGAACGAGATCTACGAGGAGGACGAGCTCATGGAAGCGCTTGCAACGTACCAGGAGGTTCGGAAGGCCATCAAGGACCAGCGCAATGGCAGAGGCTACTACCCGATCAAGGGCAAGGGCACCAAGGGGAAGGGAAAGGGGAAGTTCGGCGATGGTCGAGGAGCTCGAGCACACGTGGAGATGCTGAAGCTGAGGACGAGATGCGCAAGATGCGGGAAAGTCGGGCACTGGGCCAAGGAGTGCCGCGGAGAAATGGATGAGGTCGCCAAGGCCAAATTGAGATCATCTCCAACCGCGTCATCTCCGGGAACTTCCGTGGCTAGCCAACATGGATTTTATCTTACGGCTAGTCCACCAGAGGACGTGTGCCTGTATCTCCGAGACTATTCCATCACGGACTTTATGCCTCGGAAAAAGGAAGCGCCGCAAGTGGAAACCTTGGGATTGTCGACACAGCTGCGCAAGGAGGCCTTATAGGGGAAGCCGCTTTGGGTCGGCTTGAGGAAGAGCTCAAACAGTTTGGACTTCGCCCCCACAAGTTGGACTCGGCGGACAGGCGCAGGTTGTGGCAGTGGTGGAAATTCCGTTGGGGCTTGCGGGAGTGTGTGGAATTCTAGAAGCTACCGTCGTCAAGGAGGAGGTTCCCTTGTTGCTCCCCATTTCGTTGTTGAAAGAGCTGAAAGCGGTGATTAACCTGGAGGAGATGAACCTTCACTTGAGTGCCGAAGGGAAGCAAACCCCGCTGGTTTCATTTCACACTGGTCATGTGGGAATCGACATCTGCAACTTCGGGAACCATGGATGGACCCTTCCCCAACAAGCCAAGCAACGTGGACGTTCGGATGAGATGTTCGAGAGAAATCTCATGAAGTGTGTGGAGCGGTGAATTTTCCAGCCATGACAGCTCCGAACGGGGCAAAGTGGCCCATCAGTTTCCTCACTCAAAGCCATGAGCCTGTTCGAGCGAGCCGTGAAGATGCACCTGGAGCCCGAGGCCAAGAAGGAAGAGAAGCCGGAACTCGTGTACAACCCCAAGCGGGCCGTGAAGAACTGGAGAGTGGTGCTGCAGCAGATCTTCGACATGATCGCAATCGTCGCCAGAATGTCAGCACAAGGGGCCCTCGGTGGGGAATCCGGTGGAGTCTCTATTGGACCTTCTTCTTCTACGGCACCGGTGCTCAAGGAGCCGACCTTCAAAACCTCCTACACGCACATGCACAAGCCCGCGGTCGCCTCGGACAAGCAGCGGCACTATGCGGAGATCATCAAGGACGCACCAGCGCTACCTCCACGCAACTGCACCCCGAACGGCAAATGCGTGCACTCGGCAGAGCTGCTGAAGGGAGCCGGGAATCAATACTCTCGGGAGGTGTGGTGCGCAGGATGTCATCAGCGGTGGCAACTCACGAAAGCACAGATGGAACAAACCAAGCCCGCAAAGGAGAAAGCCAAGCCACCGATCGAGACAGCGCCCGAAACCACAGTGATGTGCTATTGTGCGAGGCCGGCAGAGAGACTGCTTGTGAAAAAGGAGGGACCTCGCAAGGGAAGAGCATTTTGGAAGTGCGTCCAAAGACAGTGCGACTACTTCTGGTGGGAGCCACTGAAGGAGGACCCGTACAAGAGGAATCGGCAGCTGCTGGAGCTCGAGGAGATGGAGGCGGAGAAGCTGGAGCGCGTGAAGCTGGAGGTGGTGCAAGAGGCGGAGCGACGTTATCAGGAGATCATCCAGGCCCAGCAGCACCAGATACATGGTTGGGCCCAGCAACAGGCCGAAGTGCACACCACGCAAGTTCAGGCTCTTCAGTCTCAGGTGATGTTTCTGACGGCGGCCATGGGAGAAGAGAGGATGCGGCAGATCATGACCGATCCACAGGCGCGACAGACGGCGTGGGAGCAGGTGGAGCAGCTGCGAGATCACTGGAGTCAAGTGAGCCAGAATGTGGGGATGGAGGACACCACCAACGACGGCATCTGAAGACCCAAGACGAGGTGGAGAATGCCCCCTGCACCCAAAAGATCTCCACCCAGAAGCTTCAGAATCAGTGGTGTTTGATGCAGTTGGAAGATGAAGAGAAGCCAGACTACGCCAAGCGAGTGAAGTCAGGATGCTGGAAATGGAGGGAAGACGTGCAGAAGTATGAGTTCCACCCGGGCATTTTGCACCTTGGAAACGAGAAGCACGTCTACGGTGTCTTCGCCAATGAGATCTTGGACCCCTTTTACGAGGAGGAGAACGTGGGCACGCTTCGCAGCAAAGACAGAAAGAAGATCTCACGGAAGATGAACGAGATGGTGGTGTCGGAGGTTTTCTCACCCCCAAGGGTCTCCAATGCGGCAGAGAAGCTCGGGATGTGCAAGGGCACCGCGTTCGACCTGATCACCGGATACGACTTGACGGATAGCGGAGACAAGCGAAGATGCATGCAGCAGCTGGCGGCCGAAGATCCGGATCTTGTAGTACTATATCCACCGCGCGGGCCCTTCTCTTCGCTTCAAGAATGGAACTATCCCCGCATGAATCCCAAGAAGGCCTTCGTGATGCTGGCTGAGGGTATCGAGAACCTGGAGTTTGCAATGAAGGTCTTTGAATGGCAGGTTCGAAGGGGCAGATGGGCATTGTTCGAACATCCGACCACCTCAAGGGCATGGCACGAGTCCGCGGTGAAGCGAGTGTTGTCACTACCTGGAGTGCGTCGGGTTCGAGGAGATCAGTGCATGTATGGCCTACAAGTTGGAGGAGGCATTAATAAGAAGAGCACGGACTTCATGGTCAATGGCGACAAGATGGAGAAGTATCTCTCTAAGCGGTGCGATGGCGGCCATCAACATGTACCTCTTCTACACGGACTAGCTCGTCATGCTCAAGAGTATCCACACAAGCTCTGCGTGGCCATGGTCAAGGGCGCGCTTGAAGACAAGAAGGAGAGTGAGAAGGTGAAACCCACGATGGAGAACCTGGAAGGATGGGCTCGACGTTCTGGATGGCACCAAGCTGAGCGAGGTGAGTGGGTGTTGACAACTCCCTCGGCGACCAGGTTTCGAGGCGGAGGACGAGTGGTATCTTCCGCAGATTTTCCATGGAGGAGCAGCTGGATTTGGGATGAGCACGGCTGGAGAGAGCTGGAAAGTAGAGTGCTTTGGGAACCCCAGAGAGCTGATCGACTACCCGGAGGAGTCGCCCCGATTTTGGTGTCAATATTTCACCCGAATGAGTCCGCGGTGTATGCACAAGAGGAGGACATGGACGACGGCCCTAATTTGGATCAAGAAATCGAGGCAGAGGAGCAGATTGCAGAGGCCAGAGAGGGGCATGGGATAAGGGACATGCCCGTTGCGGGCGATGAGGAGCAAGGGCGTGCAGCAGAGGAGCCTTCCGGAGAAGATCAAGACCGAGGACTGACGGAGAGAGACAAGAAAATGGTGAAGGAGCTGCACTCCAAGATGGGACACCCAGCCAATGCAGATTTTGCAAGGATGCTTCGACTGGCTAGAGCACGAACTCCAGTTTGGCGGTACGCGCAGAAGGAGTTCGAGTGCGACATCTGCAAGGGGCAGCAGCGCCCAAAGGCGGCACGCCCGTCTGTTCCACCTACATGCCTGGCGCCAGGAAGTAGTGGGAGTTGATGTGGTGTTCTTCCCGGGAGTAAACCCGAGGGAAGCTCATCCTGTGCTGAACATCATTGACTGGGGAAGCTGCTATCAGATGCTGGAGCCGTTGGAGTCAAAGAGTTCTGCTGCCGCATGGTCTGCATTTTAGAGGAGCTGGATGCGCACCTTTGGAGTACCTCAGATTGTTATATGCGATCAAGGCAGAGAGTTTCTCGGGAATTTCGCGGAACAACTTATGCAGATGGGTTGTGCTCACAAAACCATTGGAGCACGTGCTCCATGGCAGCAAGGCAGAACAGAACGGCATGGAGGCTTGGCGAAGATGGTGTTCCTCAAACTTCGTGAAGAGGACCCACCAAGCAACTTAGAGGAATGGAAAGCCTGCATCTTTGCCGTAGAGGCGGCCAAGAATCGAATGTATCACAAGAGCGGATACAGTCCAGCCCAGAGACAGTTGGGGGAGAATGTGAGGCTACCTGGGACGTTGGGCAGCGACGACGTCTATGACCCAGCCCTCCTTGTTGCCGGTGCCGGAGAGCAAGTGAGAAGGATCCTGGAGATGAGGAGGAAGGCCATGGAAGCTTTCATCCGATGCAGCGCAGAAGAGGCCATCAGTAGAGCATCCAAGGCAAGACCACGAGTGTTGAGGGAGTTCTTGGCGGGTGATCTGGTGTACGTGTATCGAACTCCTTTGCCGCGGAAGCGCAACCGGGATGAGGAGGATCGTCCAGAAGCTCGGGAACTTCGTCGACCAGTGTGGGTCGGACCTGGCGTTGTGGTCTCCAAGGAGGGTCCCAATGTGTGGATCGCTATGCGAGGAGAGCTGTGGAAGTGTGCCTGTGAGCAAGTGAGACTGGCGACCGATGTGGAGCACGAGGCACACGGCATGCTGCGTGATGAGTTTGAGGAGTTGCGAATGGAGATGATGCGGAAGTCCAGCAAGAGAGCCTTCAAGGACATATCCAAGTGGGAACACCCTCCAGAAGGACGGGAAGAGTCGGTAGACGGAGAACCTCCTGCGGGACGGCGTCGACTACATGGACCGGGAAGTGCCCCGTCTGGGACGAGTTCGAGTAGCACTACATCGTCTACTACGACGTCGTCATCAAGTTCCTCGTCTACGCCTGGAGAGGAGTTAGAGGAGCCGGAGAGAGAGGTGAGCGGTGAGGCGACTGCGACGGTGCCGTCGGTATGTGCCCCCTGGGCAGCTCATAGCCAAAATGGCTGAGAATGGTCAGACATGGAAAACAACGCTCACCGTTGAGGTCAAGAGCCGATTTCATTCCACATTGCTTAAAACTGAGTACAACATAGTCGGCATCGTCAAACGAAGAACCGACATACTAGAGTGGTCTCAGGTGTCTGCCTCAGTCAGACTGCATATGGGGAGACGCCGAAAAGGCCATTGACTCAGCCTTGAAAAAGCATCCGCAACGCCAGCTTGGGTTTCGATCGCCTGGTCGCAAATCAAAACCTCGCCTGGAGTGGAACGATTCAGCTGCATGCTGTCGTTGCTGACCTGGCACCAAATATGACCAAGACAAGCCAACTGGTTCAGCTTGGAACTAAGGTCGGGTGACAAAACCTGAGAGAAATCGCGGTTTTTGCCGAATCTCAATCGGCCCATTGGTTATTGGCTGCCACTGGGCCAATGAAGGAGCCCTAGTTCCTTGAGTCAAGTGACTGGAACAAAAGTCGGACAAAACCACAAGCTGCCTACAGCCTGAAGCCAACCACAAACATCTCCGAACGGGGCATTCGAGGGACCCCCACCCGCCTGAAATATTCGAACAAAAACCCACGGGAGCCCCGACCAAAAACCTGCCATTCGCGCCTGGCTGAGCTCCTCGTGCATCTCTGGAAGCACCCGATCCAGCTGCAGATGGAGCCCGCCCGCGCCTGAACTCAGCAAGCCACCCCGCCCAAAACCCCGCGGGGCCCTGCAAGCCTGCAAGCTCTCCCCGCACCCGGCCTACGAAAATCTCAACGGCCACCTGACTGTCGTCGTCACTCGAGCCAGGGATCGGCTCGTAGTCACCTGGACACACACGTCTACACTGGAACCTGAGGAACTTATGAAAAAAAGCTGGCTCCAGAGCGGGCTCCTGCGGAAAACATTGGGTTCCGACAAGTACCTCGCCAACTCATCTGAAGCCGGGAAGCGGATAGAGATGTTGTCGCCAATGGGTACAACATGCTGTCCCTCAAAGAGGTCCACTGCTGGCGGACAAATGATGGAAAGTGGGTCGCTCAAGCTGGCTATCTCAATAGGCACGCTGGTGTTGACGGCATATTCCTAACCCAAGAGCACTCTGGGCACAGATTTCCAGCAAAAATCATTCAAGCAAGCCCATGTTCACAGATGGGCCAGAACCACCACAAACTTTGACACACGCCTTGTCTGCAAAAGAGGCACATCATCAGTCAGTAGAATGACTAGCTCGTCTGCGCCGTTGTAATTTGGATCCGGCGCAAATTGAAGCTGCGCCAGAAACTTGTTCAGTTCGAAAAGGCTAGCTCTGTATTCCAGCCGCTTGCCATCTACAGAGGACTTTGCAGTGGCAGATGAGGAGATGGACTGCACTCTGCCGTGCGAAGTAGTCAAGAAAATCGACAGTGTGCGCTCGACCAAAAATTCAGCCGCCTTGTGTCTCACCAGGAAAGATGCAAAGTTGGCGTGGTCCTCGAAGACGTTCAGAACTCCCGACTGTGGCTCCAGCAGCACGATGCGCGGCGGTTCATTGACAAAGCTGCGGTGAACCGCCAGGAAGGTGGTTGCCATCAAAGGCCCCCACTCCGTGCTGTTCACGCCTGCTAATGTGTATGCATGCGTCTCACGCATCAGCTTTGCATAGGCCTGCGGGGAGTGCCACACGTAGGGCTGCCCAGTGGCTCCTGCACCCCCAGCGGCTGCAAGGCCTAAGAGAGAGCGGTCATAGGCCACGCACTGCTCGAACAAATTGTGGTCATCATAGAAGACCTGGGCCTGGCAAGGTTAGACTGAAGTGGCCCCCGCAACAAATCTGGAGGTATTATGCCATGGTGTGCCGCTATGCCCAAGACAGCTTGACTCGACTGGCACAGATTCACATCGGCCAGCCCACCCTTCAACACCGAGGCCTCCGGGTCAATGTCTTCCTGAAGTAGCGTGAGGAAATCAAATGCGTTCGGTGTTCTAGAGAAATGCATAGAGAAACGCAGGGGGACCAGGGAAAAGATCACGGAAAGAGACTAGTGCCCAGCTGAGTTTCGCGAAACATTTCTGCATAGTGATCCACTCGCCAGCCACGATTGCCAACATCAGACACTGAGACGGAGATCCCCGTGACCCCGAACCAATTTGCATCCTCGAATACGAAGGTGAGCTCTTGCAATGCCCGGTTCAACTCTCGCAACTTCATCCTCCTCTGTATGCGTGTGCCTCAAGGGAACAGCAGGCGAGAACATAGGAAGTGCTTTTGCCTGGCAACTACCTACAGAGAAACTGCAAAGCCCTCCGGACTGTAACTGGCAAGCGCTTCTGAGTGATGTCACCTCGCGCCTCGTTCGCCAGCGAATGCCACCGCGCCCCCCCGGGAGTCCGAATCCACAAGGATTTCCACCTCCATGTCATCGTTTTGCCGTGCATCCGGGTCTGCCACTGTGACGCCGTAAAGCCGCACATCGTCCTGACTCAGTGCAAGGCAGAAACAAACCACCCAGGAAAAAGACATTGACAAGGCCGCTCCGACGCACACGGCAATTGCAAAGTGAGTTCTTCTTCACACAAAAGACTTTCCTGGACCCATGGGCACAGGTCCTGCATCTGGCTCACGGAGAAATGGGGCACATCCACGAAGAAGAAGGGCCGCCGGTTCACCCGGCGCACCACCACGGGGAACTCGATCATGTCGCTGGGGAAGCCTTCGGGGCGAGCGCCTGGTGTGCCAGGGTTGAATGGCAAGGGCTCGTTGAACCGCTGCCCCAGGGCATACGCGGTGATGCTGATGTTGAACTCGAAAATATCCGGATCCTCTGGGCCCGCAAAGATCTGCGGAGGTGGGTGGAATATCAAAGCCCGCAGCGCCTGCACGTCAGCCACATGAGAGGCTTGGTGCCCGGCTTGCGTCGAAAGTCAAGCTGCTTCACGGCTGAAAGGTGAGAAAAACCGTTCGCAGGATTGGCATAGCAATTTGTCTCGACCCAGTTACCTTCTCAGTGCCTGCCTCAGTGTCCCGGCCCCCCTCCAGCGCCTCCTGGATGTTGCTGTAAAGCCCAGCAGCTTGGAGCTCCGAAGTGCCCTCTCGCCAAACCTCCGTTGGTGAGAGGTTTCTGAAAAACGTCCAATGAAGGGAAACCTTTGGGTCTGCTCAATCGCACATGTGTGCTAAATCATTGCCATCCCCTGCTCACTTGCTGGTCCCTCAATGCCAGCGAGGCAGACAGTTGCCAAGCTGAGGAGTAGCTGCTGTGAATTTCGGCCACACTTCAAGAGCTGGACGTTCCGGCCGCTTTTGCGGCGGAGCCGTCTGAAAAGGCGTCCCCCCGCCCCCAAAAGCCGACAAAGGGTGCCCATCCTTCCCCCCCCCTTCCGTTCCGGTGCCTGCAAGGGCGCCCGGTCCTCCAGGGAGATGCTCACCCCAGGGTCGCTCGCCTCGATGACCAGCCAAAAGGAAATGGTTTGGTCCTTGGCCCACGGGCGCCCACGGGAGGAAGGAGCCCCAAATGCCAAAATGCGCAATGGACACCCATCCCACCGTGCAGCAATCTGCGCCCAAGCGGCCGCAGAATCCGCAGTGGCGTTCAAGGCGAAACACTCCCGGACCTCCAGGCAAGTCCTTCAAGCTCTCACAGCTGCCTATGTCAATGCTGGTTTTTCTGGTCATGTTGTGGACAGACCGCATTGGAACAGTTGCGACAGACATCGCAATAGCCACACCTGATGACTGAGCTGCGCATGCGCTGAGCACGGGAAATGAGCGCATGGAAGAGTGCGACGGACTGAATGCAAAATCAACAAGCAGTGGCTCTTTCCACATCGACCCTTCTCTTTCTGGCTTGTGGCGGCTTTGCGTGGCTCAAATGGGAGCTCATGTTCAAGGCATTGCCGCTCCTCCTAGCCTGAAGCCTGTGCAGCGACCAAGGGAAGTTCGGTCTTGACGCCAAAGCCGCGCTCAGGCGTGCGAAAGACCTTGTCATTCCAGGCCACTTTATTGCCCAGTTCATTTCAGCTGGGCATCCAAAGGCTCATCTCCGGGGGAGGGGCGGGGCCGGGACTGCCATCTCGTCGAACAGCGCCGAGGCACGAGTCCGCAACGCGGGCTCTCGCCCCGCAAGGCCGACGCGCACGCAGCAGGCATTCAACTCCGCTCTTCTGCGTCGGCGAGAGAGGAAGACTCGGCAGGTTCTCGCAACTCACCGCGCCATCCGCCTTACAAACGGTCTTGCCGCGCCAAGCGAGCAAAGGAGCATCCTTGCCCGCCGGCTTTGACAAATCGTCTTCCACAAAGAAGATCGTCGACAAAGGACACCACAATGCCCCGCAAAATGTTCGACCGGCAAAGATTGTCACAAACTGCGGCAAAAACTGCCGTCCATGATTCAGTAGATTTTCCAACAAGCGCCGCGAAGTTCGCGACCCATGTAGCTCGCGCGTCGGTATTCGTCTGCGTTCAAGCTCTCATTTTCTCGCATTTGCCAAACGCGATTCGCCTCGTAGCAACGTCTTCGCACGCATGCAACTAAGTCACTCACCAGCAAAACTGCGGCGACACTTGGTTGACGAGGGAGGAAAAAGCAGCGAGCCAGATTTAAATCAGCGCCCCGCTACCACTGATGAAACCCCGCTCTCTCAAGCAGCTGAAGCTTGAGGTAAACCGTCACGGCTTCTCCGTCAACTGGCCAAATTGGCATAGGCCTGGCTGAATGAAGGCCCTTTCTTAAAATGTCCCTTGTCAAGCCAAGGCAAAATCAGCTGAAACCCAACCCCCACAAAAACTCCAGTCCACTTCTAGCCCAGCACTGGCCGCCAAAACTCAAAACCTGCATGTTCGAAAACGCCCCTCCCCCATTCCACATGTCCTTCCATAGGTGAGGAAGGGCATCGCCTCCGTGCACAGGTGCGAGAGCTCAGGCTTGTCGATGACAGGCTCCACCACGAGGTACAGCGAGCGCTCCACAAGCAGGTGGAACTCGTTCCCGTGGCCGCTGCCTCCCGCAACAGCCAAGCTTGGTCCCTCCGGTCCCGAAGTCAGAGGACTAAAGCCCAAACTCTGGATCGAAACGCCCCATCTGAGAGACAGTTGGCAGAACATAGAAGCCCGGGTTTTCTCGCCCCCTCAAGAAAAGTGGAAAGGCCACAGCTTCCTCGAATGCTTCTACCACGAAGCTACTTTGATAAACACACGGAACCCAGGATCGGCTCACGCATCTGTGCGTCGACACTCTCTCTCTCTCTCTCTCTCTTGCTCTCTCTTTTTGTTCGCCTTCTTTCTTGTACTGAACAAAATGATATTTGACGCACAGTGCACATGCAGGCACAGCACAGCACATTGCCTCTGTCATCAACCGTAATGTTGACCCTCGCGAAGCCATGCCTGTCGCAGGGCTGACGCAACTTTACGGCGATATTTCGCAAAGTTGCCAAGCACGAACTGCCACACAAATAGCTCCGCTTTGAACAAGAGTTGGAAGTGCAGACAAGTCGCCAGTTCGGGGCAGGCTTAAACTGCAGCCGTCCTGGACCCGTCTGCATGCCTTAGCTCACATTTGCAGCGGGGACACCCAAGAAGCCCTGGCTGAGGTGTGGCCCTCTGGCGCCTCCGTCCGGCGCCTCCCAAAACGGCACCTGGTTTTTTTCGCCCAAATCCGAGGGGCTATTGAAGTTCTCCACCGTGGTGTTGAAGTGGACCAGTGCCGTGCCCATCTCCAAGCCTCGGCTAGTGACAAGCGCCATCTCCAACAAGAGAAGCTGCAAAGAGATGGGAGGGGCATGGCCCCGCGATTCACAACCCCTGGCTGCTGGCCGTCCAAAGCAACCAAGTGAGGTCTCCCAAAGCTAACTGCTTTCCGGCAGCAGCCGTCCTCGTTGAGATGGCCCCGAGGCTCCTCAATCTGCACGCCCTCCAAGCCACCTTGTGCGGCAAGCAGCTTCCGGGGCTATTCTTGGCCGTGCCGAGCAACACGGAACAAAGGCACCAACATGCAGCAAACACCCAAGTTGGAATCCTCGAACTCGAACACAGGCTTTTTCTTCCAGGCAGAATGACGGCACTGCTCTACGAAATGCGATGCCTGTTCAATTCCTTGCCCGAGACCTGCCCAGCTCACGGCGTGAAAGGGAAGTGGTGGGCGTTGAAGAGCACACCCTGGGTCAAAGCACCGCTGATGGCCAGCATAGCGAGACGGCCGTTCTTGAGCTCCTTCATCTTCATGCTCTCCATGCCCTCAGCTGAGGAGGGGGCAAACATCCTCAAGCCCAGATCCCCAGCGTTTTCGGCGGTCAGGCTCTCAAAGGCAAGGCCAACCTGCTTGAAGCGGAGGGACTCGATCACGCCGCAGGCAAGCAGCAACCACCACATGGGGCCCTCACCCAGGCCAGGACCAATCAGCTTGTTGTGGGCGGTCAGCAGGTCAAGGCTGGGGTCCTGCACTTCCTCGAAAGGCAGGCGCACCGCATCAGGCACGATCAGGCCGACATAGGCGAGCATAGCCACACGTCCGTGCTTGAGCTCTGCCTCGCGGAACCAGCCGAGCAGCTCGGGGTAGCTAGTTGCAAAGCCTGCGGGGTCAAACTGGTACTCGCCCCAGCCGTGCAGCTTGCTGCCAGCCATTCCCGCGGCGAACTCAGCGCGGCGGACCACACGCTGACGCTGGCTCACCGCCATGCTGGCTGCCGTGCCCACCATGGTGGAACGAGAGCCAATACCAGACCGCGTTTCACTGCTCAAAGCGCTCATGAAAGGGAAGTGGTGGGCGTTGAAGAGCACACCCTGGGTCAAAGCACCGCTGATGGCCAGCATAGCGAGACGGCCGTTCTTGAGCTCCTTCATCTTCATGCTCTCCATGCCCTCAGCTGAGGAGGGGGCAAACATCCTCAAGCCCAGATCCCCAGCGTTCTCGGCTGTCAGGCTCTCAAAGGCAAGGCCGACCTGCTTGAAGCGGAGGGACTCGATCACGCCGCAGGCAAGCAGCAACCACCACATGGGGCCCTCACCCAGGCCAGGACCAATCAGCTTGTTGTGGGCGGTCAGCAGGTCAAGGCTGGGGTCCTGCACTTCCTCGAAAGGCAGGCGCACCGCATCAGGCACGATCAGGCCGACATAGGCGAGCATAGCCACACGTCCGTGCTTGAGCTCTGCCTCGCGGAACCAGCCGAGCAGCTCGGGGTAGCTAGTTGCAAAGCCTGCGGGGTCAAACTGGTACTCGCCCCAGCCGTGCAGCTTGCTGCCAGCCATTCCTGCGGCGAACTCAGCGCGGCGGACCACACGCTGACGCTGGCTCACTCCCATGCTGGCAGCCGTGACGGCACCAGCACCGGCCAGGCCTAACATGGTGGAGCTGAAGCCATTGCCGGACCGTGTCTGCTGCGCACCGCGCAGACCTGTGGCAACCTGCGGGCTTGCCTGGTGAGAGGCCTGCCCAGTCACAAAGCTCAAGCCAGATGACAAAGCACAGGCGCCCACGCCGGCAATGGCGAGGGCCCGCAGGCTGTTCTGCTTCTCTGCCATGGCCAAAAAGAAAGCGGGCAAGAAAGGCTGCCAAGTGTATAGCAGCTTGAGCCCGAAACTGCGAACAATGATTCCGAGGAAGGCCAACCAACTGGCACTTTGTGGTTGGCATGCAGCCAAGCAAAGAGCTGCTCCAAGTGCGTTCAAGCCACAGAGCATCAGTAGATTCCCCTCGTGGCTGGAAAAAAGCTCGAACTTGAAGCTTAGAGGGTGCTGGCCTGAGGAGCCACGTCAGAAGCCCTTGACAGGAAGCCCTCTCCATCCTCTCCCCTCATCTGGGCGCAGGTGCAAACACACCTGAGGGCCAGGCCGGCATCGATATCACTCACAAACAGTGGCCCCAGAACCAGGTACTCTTCAAGATCCTCCTTGAGGGTGTACGAGTCCAGGAACACGTCCAGCATGGGCCCATCATTGACCCCAGCCACCTTGCACACCGCTCCCCCGAAGTGCGAGCAGTTTATGATTCCAGACAATGAGACTGTGGCATGCCTAGGGTCCAAGCTGCGCTTTTTGGAGGGAACTGATTCCCGCATCTTGGCCCCAAGCAGCGATTCCCATGGAACAGCTTGCATCGCAATGTGACCCAACGACGGCAAAACAGAACAAAGACCCGATGCCACGGGATGGACACTGACATAGATGGACACAGACATAGACACAAACACATTGACGTAGACATACAGGCACACACACACACACAAGCCATTGAAAACTTCAAGCCATGCCTGCCTCTGGCTTCAGTCGAAAAGGAGACCCTTGTTTTCCAGCCTCGATGTCCACCAGGAAGCTGGAGTTGGAGCTGCGGAAGTCCAGTCCCAGGAGCTCGTCCCTCACCTGCAAAAGGGATGCACCGAAAGATCCGGCAGATGCGCCGAAAGAGCTGCGATCTCTATGACTCTATGGGATTGGCGTCTGTGATGGCCTCAATACAACCAATCCAACCAATCCAATCAATCCAACCAATCCAAGCACCTTGCCTTCACTATCCGACAAGCCTAAGCCGACAGTGCAGCTTTCGACCGACTTTGCCCAAAAAAGAAGGCAGGCCTCCGCCCTGAAGAGGACAAACTCCAGCTGCACGTGGCCGAAGAAGTCGGGCGGCGGTTTGTATACCAAAAACGGCCTCAGGCAGCCCCCTTCTGAAAACGCCAGCAAGGACACTGCTCTGGTTCATGCAAATGGAGTCAGCCAAAAAAAGAATAGGGATTGACATGGGCCGGCAAATTTCACCCACGTGCCCCAAGAAGCTCTGAACCCAAATTGCCCGCCCCCCCCCCTCCCTGCCCATCGCACATGCCCCTTCCCAAAGCGGAGGCAAGCCACAGCGCGTCATTCAAGCCGTTGACCAGGCCATCCAGGTGGCACTCCCGGCCAGGGACAAAACTGCTGACCTCTGAGCACCCGAATTGAAACCAAGGCTGTTTTTGCTGAATCGAAGAATTGCGACGTGGCGCACAGGAAAACTGAGGCTGGGGAGCAAGGCTCAACAATGGAATGAACAGAATGAAGATGATTGAGGCGAACGCTTCAGATCTGAGTTCTTTGTGGCAGCCAGTTACGTCTGGCGAAGCCTCGCAGCTTTGCTTCTCTCTGTTGATTTCCCTTGGCGACTTGCTTTCTCCAAACCAGGGCAGCGGCAGCTTCCGGCCACCGGACGACCTTGCAATCACCTGCCATGGATCCATCAACCATTTCCCGAGTCTCCGCGGCCGGGCAGGAACGCTTGTGAACCACCTAGATGCCCTGCCGTCTAAAGTGCTCAACCTCCAGCCGAATGTATGACAGAAACAAAGTGGCAGGGCAAAGCCTTCGTCGCGAAACTGCCAGGCCCAAACGTCTGAAGACAAACCCACTCGCCTGGTACGTGCCCTGGGTGCTTGACATCCACGATGAGGAACAAATGTGGGTCATGGGTTGACACCTTGGATGGCACGGCACTCCGCGGTCAACATGTCGAAGCCTGTTGCCAAGGGGCATGCAGATGCCCGATGGAGATTTCAGTGTCCTCATCCATGTTCAGTGAGCCGCCCGTCCACTGCGCCTGAAAGCCTCAAGAAATGGCTAGCGCACCCACTTCATGCAGAAGATTCAATATTCAACCAGCTTGGCAACCAGCTGCAAGCTGCTAAGCCACTTACAGCAAAGCAAGTGGTCTCTTCTTAGCGTGCCATTGTAAAACGGGCTGAATTGACATGCCCCCTGCAAGCCACAGGCCTTGGCAGTCTGGCAGGACCAGCATGGCGGCCAGGGTCAGGGGCGGGTGGTGCCCGCTATCCTTAAAAAAAATCGCCGCAACTCGCGCGCTTCCCCGAAATTCCATAAGACAAGTTGCCACTGTGATGTTGAACTCCTCCAAGGTGGCGCAGTCGTGCTCATCCCAGGTGTAGCCTTGCCACCCGCGCTTTCAAGGATTCAAGGCACACTAAGACTCTGGCGGAGTCTGAGTTTCTTCTTTTACTGTGTGTCATCCGTCTCGCCTCCTCCCCCTCTTCCTCGCTTCCTCCCTCCCACTCTCACTCCTACTCTGACCTCTCTCTCTCTCACACACCCTCACGCTCACGCTCACTGCTTCTCTCACCCACTCACACTCACAGGTTCACGCTGACATGCTCGCCCTCACACTCTGAGCCTAAGTCTTAGTCTCAGTCCTCACTTGTGCGGCATGCTAGTGGCGGGTCACTGCGTGGTAGGCTGGTTGTGAGGCAAACAGCGCACGACTGACCTACTACAGGCCTCCGTGAGGCGGCAGTTTCTGGTAGCGTTGCGGACATGTTGGCGTTCGATCACGGGTTGGCAGCAGCACTTGGGGCAAATGCTCGTGTGGGTCTCATGGGCGGATGGCAGGAGACAGTAGTTTGAACTGAAGGCTGGGCTTTTGTGCCAAATGTCGAAGACACATTCCAAGGATGCATTCCTTCATACCTTAAATGATACGCATAATTGTTCCGTGAGCCTTGTAGGTGTGGTAGCCAACCCGTTTGCCAGCCAAGCAGCGAACATCCGCCAAGAACCTTTCACGGATGTCGGTGCTGTTGCTCACAAATCGGAGTTTGGACTCGCCGTTCATTGTGCCGCCTGCAAACCAAAGTCCCTCTGTGTCGCCGAGGAAGAGGTATCCTCCGATCATGTGGATTGGAGGCAAGCAAGCGGACAACATCATCAGTGCCTCTGGTTGCTCTGACGGCCTGTACTAACTTACAAAGACCACCAATATCAAAATGCATGCCCACTGTTTGGACAGCAGCCTTGCGAATGAGCGGTGGCATGGGGGGGGGGGGGGTGAGCCAATAAGGGCGCGCAGCATCTAACCCCGGATCTTTGCAAACGGTCCTCTGGAAACCTCAAGCTCAATGATGCAAGTCGTGTCTATGGCGCCCGGCGGCTCGAAGACAATGTCTTAGATGCACGGCTTGCAACAGCACAGCTGTTGAAACATCTCAACCACAAAAAACAAAAAAAAGCAGCCTCTGGGGAACTAACCGAAAGAGAAAACCTTAGCTGCAACAAACAAAGCACCTGAAAACCTGAAAGGCTTCGCGCCCGTGATCTCAAAGATTGCACCGTGGAATGCGCCGCCTGCATCGCAGCGCGCTTGCAAAGGAACAGGATCAATGATCTGCACGCATTCCGCAACGTAATTTGTCGGGCCCTATGGGTGAGCTCGTTTAACCCCAGGTGAGCTCGCTCCAGCCAGGTCGGCCCAAGCCCTGCCTGAGGCCAAGCTCACAGTTGGCGCAGTGTCCGCCGCCAAGACGTGCACTGGCAGGCTCCGGGACGCCACGGCTGGCTGCAGGGCAGGGGGTGTCGCCATAGTGCCTTGGTTCAGAGCCTGGGGTCAAGCTTGGCCTACCAGGGCCGACCATCCATACCTCCAGCCTTCACAACTAGAGATCCCTCCCCGAAGACACCAAAGAGCGCCACAACCTAAAATTTACAGGCCCTATGGGCGACACAACCTCTTGAAGGCCCTGCGCGTCGATTGGAAGCTGCATTCTTTGTCAGCATTCCCGGGTTGCTCCCCCAGCCGGGCTGCGCTGAATTACCCGGTGCACCGTGAAATTCAAGGACGCATCCTGAGGGAAGCAACAACTGCCCGACTTCAAAGGAGCCCAGGCGAGAGCAAAAAAAGCGGTTTCTGATGGTTCCAAACGGCTGAACTAGCTGAAACCTTGAAAGATCTCACGCGGAGACTGGGCACTCCCAGTGGTTCAAACATCCGGCACAAGGTCAACCCTTAGTGTCTCTGCATTACAGAGTGTTGGTTCGTGCTCTCTTGGCGTTTCGGGCGATCACAAAGGCCGTCCTCGCCGGCTGGTCCAGCTGGAGGAAAGTAGGCCAACCTCAAGCTGGCAACTTTGGCTGAAGCGCAAAGCCTCAGCCAGCTGTTGAGGCAAGCTGCCGGCTCAATGCAGCATTGAGCCCTGGCGCGTGGCCCATGAGAGGTGGGAAGACCGCCTGGCCCAATTCAAGTGAAGAGAAAAAATGGACCCGAAATGGCACCCTGGTATATGGAAACAACAAGCTCAAGCCATCCATGAGCTTTACGGTCTCACAACGGGCACACGCAGCTGGAGTAGTTGGAATGCTTGCCAGTGTTTTCCCCCAGGGCCTGCCATCCATCCGGATGTCCGGGCAGCCGCAGGAAGCCAAGCGTCACATTGAGTTCGACTCGCCTCGGGTGCTCGACTCAAGCAGCTCAGAACCCAAAAAAAAACACGCCCCTTGCTCAAGAAAAAGGCTGGTGCAAGCAACACGTTTGACGGGAACCATGAGATGCAGACAGTGCGGACAAGCACAGGGAGCCCAAATGCCCACTGCTTCCCCCAGTTTCCATTCAGCATCCGATGCATCCCCTTCCATCACCCCGTTCAAAGGGCGCATGTCGTTCCTCCAGCCGAGGCGCAAGAAGCAGGACCCATCCACCGTCATCTCACAGTCCGGGTCCGAAACAGAGAGGCCAGCCAAAGAGCAGGAACTGGAGCCAGCCACGCACTGGAATCCATTCGACTGGACGTCTTCAGAGACCGTGACCAGCAAAGGATCGTCATGCACAGCTTCCTGACATCTGGAAAACAATCAGCATTGACCCTACTTCTCTCTTCTCTCTTCTCTCTTCTCTCTTCTCTCTCCTCTCTTCTCTCTTCTCGCTTCTCTCTTCTCTCTTCTCTCTTCTCTCTCCTTCTCCTTCTCTCTCTCTCTCGCCTCTCTCTCCCTCCCTCCCTCCCTCTCTCCCTCTCTCTCTCTCGCCCCCCTCTGCGTCTGAGCTGCAACCTCAATGACCACACCGTGGGTGCACTCCTGCGCGAGCTCAGGCGAAAAAAAATGTATTTAGCTGCTGGAGCACGCTGCTTGACCACTGGCCACTGCACTTCTATCCCCGCAGGTACCCTGGCATGGTCCTCTGCACCATGATTCATAGCCATTCCCGAAACAACCTTTGTGAGAGAGACAGAGTGGGATAGAGAGAGAGAGAGAAGAAAAAACACAACAACCATGAGCCGAATGCTCGGAAAAAGGCTCACTCACAAACACATGCCTCCCATTTGCATTCAAAGCACCGTGAAATCCACCTGCACGTTGCCAAAGAAGTTCCGATCCGGCTCCTGGGCATGCGGCTGGCATGCGCAAAGCGCGCGCCAGCAAAAGCCAGGACCCCAGGAAGCCAAGGCGCGATGTACAAGTAGAGCCTCAAGAAGCGGCTCGCTTGGAAGTGGGATCCCGTCAGGATGGTGTCCTGGGATTCGCAACGCCGGCTCGGTAGACGGCTCAGAAAAGACCGGCTTGGCCTTCATGTTGTCGGAGTATGGGTAGAAGCGAACCCCGGTCTCACGCTCGACAATGGCCTCCCATGTTGAGTCGTTCCTCCTCGGATGGCTTGCCGGCTTCGAGCCTTGCCCAAATATTGGGGGATTAGGAAAAATGGGCGATGCGGAACTGAAAGAGCGCGAGAGTCCCGCGCGCAAGGTAGAAGTCGATCAAGGGCTTCATAGCAATGGAGCCATCCACCACTTGAATGCGAATCTGCAGAGATGTCAAGTTGGTCACATCGCCAGTGAGAAGTGTTTGCTGCAGATGATACGTCGTGTCTTCCAGCGTCTGGTGCCGCCCAGCGTTGTAGATCCTGCGACTGCCAAGCTCAAGCCCAGCACACAAGGAATTCCTGAAGCAGCAGAAAACGCTTCGAGAAGACCACCAGGTTTCCCCTTCTTTGGCCATGCCATGCCAAAAGCAAAACAAGGTTTGGTTTGGAATACGCAGCCATTCAGCAATTGATAGTCGCTAGCAGCCAGTCATGTCCGACGAGTGACAAGCCCCTAGCCAGGCGCTTCCTGTCCTGCAAACTTGTGCGAGGGGACGGACAGTAACCCTCACCTCCGTCTCAGAAGCGGATGCCACCTGCGCCGGCCCAGAGAACCCAATCCACAAGCATAGGCTCAAATGTCCATGTTCTGTGGCTCACTATGCTTGAAGTTTTGATGTGTAGGCCTAGTCGCTCATGCACCACTCAAACGCAAACAGACAGGATCGCGCAAGTTCCCTTCCACTGTGACAGGGTAGTCTCAAGACTCCAACCGAGCCAAACCCGTTTTGCTTTTCCAGGTCCATGAGGCCAGTTCTCGAATCCTCTCAGAGTGGGGGGGAGGCTGGTTTCACAGCTCTTCCGTTGACTCTTGCGGGCGAATGCACCAGCAAATGCCGGGGCCCCAGCCTCTTTGCTCTCTCGCAGGCAGCTTGGTGAGCAGCCCCCGCCCCCAAAGTCATTGAAGTCGTCGCACTCCTCCGCTCCCTGCGCAACAAAAGTGACTCTCGATCCAGTGCCGGGCTTTTGTTTGTGCACCTCGGCGGCAATTACTCCAAGCATCTTGGTTCATCAAACTAGGCAGGTACCTAGTAAAACAAACAAACAAACAAACAAACAAATGATGGGAGCGGATAGGGTGAGAGTGAAAGTGAGAATGGCGGCTGATGAAAGTCTTCATGCAGGTCAACTGTGCTCGAAGTGAAGCGCACGGGCGCGCTCAAAATAGCTGGAAACCCTTGTCACAACGTCGACGCGGGGTCACTGCACCACAAAACAACCAGCCAGAACAAAAAAAGAGCTGCAAACAGTTATATCAACCAGCAAGAGTTTGAGATGAAGGATTTCGCTTCCAACCAATCGAGCCGTTTCTCTGTCTATGTATCACACCTATCCATCTACAACGTCTCTGCTCAAGCGTGGCTTCTTCAAGTTCTGATGAGAAAGCTTGGCATCATGTTTCATACCAACTCCTCTGGCGCGTGATGCTGTGAATTGATGTTGCGTGTCACGCTGCACGTGATGTTGTGCGATTGTGACTTGACGCTGCGAGCGAAGCTGCGCGCATGATGCTCTCTCTTGCGCGTGATGCTCTCCAATCCCTGTTGCCCAATCTTTCATGTCCGTATGCGCAAGAGGTCTGGAGATGTTCGCTGCAGAAATTATTTCGCATGCTACTTCTACGCTTACAAGTTACGACTTTCGAACTGGCGATGCGGAAGTGTACTTCTCGCGCTCCGATGCGAGCGCGCTTTCCGAACATTATTGTTGCGCTGCAAAGCCATGATTTTCAAGCTGGAGCCAGGAGAGCACGCGGCGCGCAGCTTTGATACCCGCAAAGGGTTCAGCGCGACTAAGACAGACTCGCACCGCGAGAGCGCTTCGACACGCACGATCTCCGGAGAGGGTTCACCCCGCTCAAGACCAATTCGCACGGCGCCAGGGTGCGTGTCGATAGCTCCCGTCCGACCTACCCGCCGCCGAAATAGAGTACAAAAAAGACTCGAGAAGAGAAGGTACAAAAGAAAAAGTCTGGCAACTGAAGTAACGCTGGAAAAGTTGGCAGGCGAAGTTGGCAGGCGAAGTTGGCAGGCGAGTAACCCCGAAAATTTGGCATGAGAAGTTGGCAGGTGAAGTAACTCTCGAAAAGTTGGCAGGGGAAGTTTTCAGCCGTGTATAGAAGAGGAACCCTTCGCATGCTTCCGGGAATCAACGAACAAACAAACAAAACCCAACCCAACCCAACCCAACCCAACCCAAGCCAACCCAACCCAACCCAACCCAACTCAACCAGCAAGCAAGGAAGCAAACAGACAAGCAAACAAATGGGTGATGAACAAAGCGCCCCCCCCCAGCCCCTCACCGCCCGCCCAACACCCCACCTCAACGATGCCGTCGCCGCAAACGGTGGGATTGCATGTGTCTGTGCTTCTTGAAGAGCCTCCATGGCATGCGTAGCCCGTCTCGATCTGACATTCAGAGGAGCATCCATCTCCGTCCTGCGGGCGCAGGAATTCAAAGCTTGAACGAGACATGCTGAAAGCCAGCATGCGCTGGGTGCAGCCTTTGGCAGGATTTTCATCTAACTTTGGCCAGGTACTCACACAAAACACGTTGCTTGGCTACTGAACCAATAGATTATATAGTCAGGTGCTTGTTTGAGATGCGTCTGTGGCTGCTTTGGCCGCAAGATCGTGCGAACACCAAGCTGTCCTCCGTGTTGCCATCGTCACAGCCTTCATGTGGCACCCTCAGCCCATCGCCGCATTTGGGATGGCACCAGTCTCGCACCATCTCAGTTCCGCCCTCGCACAGAAAGCCAGCTTCGATCTGGCAGGTGGCGCTGCAACCTCGGGTCGGACATGTCTGTGCCACTGGAGAACAGAAGGAGGCTTTGAGACCGCGATCTGTCATGAACCTGTGCACTTTAATCCTTCCAGCTAAGGTCTGAAACGGGCATGACTTTCTCAAGCCCGCTCCGACAGCCCTGCCTACCCAGCAGCACTCCAACGACAAGCTGAGCAACCATCCCCGGAGATCGTGTTGGCATCGACGATCCTGAGATGGGCCATGAGTGCTTGGTTTTTGAAGCTTGCCGCCTTTCCGCTTGCAGTAGCTCATGCGCTAGATGTTGCCCCGTGTGAGCCGGTGCGCAACAAACAGCTGTCTATAATTGGGTGGAAACCACCTGCCAATTGACGACACAAGTAGTAGCTTGCGAGATGCGAAATTTTGACTGGCCCTTGTACAGCACGGCAGCATCGTTCAAATCACATGATTCTGCAGGTATGAGTCATCAGATGACACGCCAGCCATCACTAGCTGAAGTTGAACTGACAGCGACACTAGATAGCTGAGGCAAAAATCCCAAGGCCTAAGATGAGTAAATCACGGCAACATATTTGGCTTAAACCAACCACCACTGGGTGCAGTGTTCAGTCCTCCGGACAAACAAATCATTGCGCAGATGCAAAGTGTCAGTGTGGTTTGTTGTTTCAAAATGCTTGCCTGGCGGAAACCTGGTTGGCAGTTGACACCACATTGTTGCATTACGCAAGCAATGCGCATTGCCGAGCGCAAGGTAGACAGCGGATGTGATGAAACATTGCATGTGACTCAAGCTCCGTGGCCCAGCGTCTGCCTGCCACATCAGACGCTGCTTTTTTTGCGGGGCCAGCAGTTTCTTCACCAAGTCAATAGTATTTCTCATATGTAGCTTGGGCGAAATCCTGCGCCACCAATGATGAATAGTTGAAATGATGAAACATTGATGGGACGCAACACGCACAAACTGGCCCCAAACATGTAAACCATAATGTTTGATTGGTTTATTTGATGCTTGACTGGCATTCGCACGATGGGTTCTGATATTGTTTCCATCCTTCCGCAGATACGACTAGAAATTGGCGACATGCGTGCGACTATTGCACTGCCTCGGGTGAGCTAGTCTGAAACTTGCCAAATTAATATGTGAAGCGTGAGCAGCATGTTGATTTGGCAAAATCGTGTACCTGATTCATAACGGGTGGTACAATGTAGTACAAGTGCAAGTATTCGGGCCAAGTGGTGCTGGAGGTTGCGTTTAGTTCTCAGCGTCGGTGACAGACTGGCGCTCACGCATCAACAGCTACCGCACGCTTTGAGGCTGCCGACGCAGCACTTGTATTTCTGGCGACACGGTGTGTTGAAGAAAGAAACGCAAAGTGGAATGCCATCAGCTGGTCTGGCCATAACGCCGTACAAAACCAAAAATGTATACGTGCCAATGGACACACATCGTCTGCAACCCCCCCCCCCCTCAGCGAACAAGTGTGTCACGTGCGCGCGCAGCGTGCGGGTGTGTGCGTGTGTGTGCGCATTGCGCGCGCGCGCCTGCGAACTATACGCGCGGGCGCGCACGCGCCGTACGCGCGCACTGCACGCGCGGACTGTACCTGCTCACGTACGCGCGCGCTGTACGCGAACCGTACGCGCGGACTGTACGCAAAAAGTGTGCGCCAAAATCTGCCGGTTTTTTTCAAAATCTGCTGCCTTTTGTTGAAAATCTGTTGCGGTTTTTCAAAATCTGCTGTGATTTTTTACACGTGCGGTCGAAACGTGCGGCGGCCGTACGGTACGGGGCGCGCGCGCGCGCGTACGGTGTGTACGCGGGCGCGCGCGCGCGAACTGTACGCGCGGAGCGCGCGCGCTGTACGTACGCACCGCGCGCGCGGACTGTACGTACCGTACGCGAACCGTACGCCCGGACTGTACGCAAAAAGTGTGCGCTAAAATCTGCTGTGTTTTATTCAAAATCTGCTGTGTTTTTTTCAAAATCTGTTGTGTTTTTTTTCAAAATCTGCTGTGTTTTTTTGTACGTACGGTCCGCGCGTACGGTGGCCGTACGGCACGGCGCGCGCGCGCGCGCGCGCGCCGTGTACGTACGTGCGACGCGCGCGCGCTGTACGTACCGTATGCGCGAACCGTACTCGCGGACTGTACGGAAAAAGTGTGTGCCAAATTTCATTCTGTTGTTTTCAAAATCTGATGTGTTTTTTCAAAATCTGTTGCGTTTTTTTCAATTCTGCGGTGTTCTTTTCGCACGTACGGTCCGCGCATATGGTGGTCGTACGGTATGGCACGCGCACGTGCGGTGCGCACGTACGTGCGGCGCGCACGCGCGCGCGTGTACGGTGTACAGCGCACGCGCGCGGTGTACGTGTGCGGAGCGCGCAGTGCGCGTGTATGGCGCGCGTGAGACTCATGTCCGTTGCGCAGCCAGCGCGTTCAGCTGCTGATGCTTTTGAACCCAGCTTCAGGTCATTGGGTTTGCTTTGCTTTCTCAGTAACAAGAAATACCCACACTCATTGACTCCAATGTGAGGACGCGCCGGTTTTCCACAAGCATACACTTAAGGGCAAGAGCTGCTCCAGATGCAGGCGTTGGGGTTCCAAAAAAAGGTTTTGGACGCTTCTCAGAAATCAGATGACGGACCTGGCTGGAAACTGGTCCCCGGACATCAAAATATAGTATGTAGGCTTTGACACTTGACAACCGTGGCGATGGTTGCTTGAATCTTTCTTTTCAGTAGACTTTTCAGATTGCAGAACCTATAACGAATCACTCTACTCTAGAATCTGGAGACCCGAACTTCATACTGGTCCGATTCACACTGGTCCACAACATAGATGGGATTGATGATTTTCAGGGCTGCCGACCCCACGCCAAAGGCATGTGTATGTGTAAACGCATGGGTACTTAAGCCTGAAGCTTGTGAAACGTCTAAGCTGAATCCCTTGCAAGGGGCTTATCGGGTTGTTTCTTAGCTAAACGCCGGTGATATTGGTGGTCATGACCACTTCAAGCAAACAACAAACCGGTATCTTTCTTAAAGATCTGTTGATGCACTCTAGTCTGCGGATCACTGCAACATCAACTCTCAAGAAGCGGACAGGCGCTGGGAATGTCAGACACCATTAGCGTCTGCTCAACATGTTGCCCCTTTGCGTCGCCAGCGTCACCAGCAAATCCAAACATGACATTTGAACTTTAGAAACAAAACTAAAGAAACAAATTGAGACTAGCGAAGTTCGGGCGGCTGTGTCTGTCGAGTATTCCAGCTGAGTATCCCGCGCAATATATTAAAATCGTTTTCTTGATTAAAAAACACTGGTGATGATGCTCAAAGTGATGACCGCTGTAAGTAAACAACAAATCGTTTCCTTTGCTAAAGCATTGGTGATGCTGAGGGACCTACTCTAGTCTACGGTGGCCTAGAAGGAATCGAATTCCAAAGGCCCAAAGGACAGTTTGCGCTGCGTCACTTATGATTCCGATCTACATGCATATATGTATGTATGTGGACATAACAGGAACGCAGCAGCACCATCCTCAACACCACCAGCGCAAGCATTCCCTGGACCAAAGCACAAGTGATGCTGGGGAAGACCTGATGTGAGGTTGCGAAATTTGCACTCAAGATCATAGGACCTTTTCTTGGGCATCATGCTATAACAAGCATCAAACTTCTTGTTTGGCGATAGCCTGCTTCCGTTCAGTGTCTTGCCAACGTTGCCAAATTTGACCTACTTCATTCTCGACGGCTTGTTTAGCCCTACGTGCCTTGGGGGCCAAACAAAAAGAAGCCCGCTTCCAAGCAATGCGCTCGGAAGGTCTGCTCAGCCATCAAGAAATCCCTTACCATTAAGATCCAAAAGAGCCAGCGGCGCAGGTAAAAACTATTCTGGATGGAGAGTGAAGTACAGTAATGACGATACGAGCCCGGGTCCTACATCTACGCCGGACTCATCGCTGGCAGCAAACACATAACGCTGAATATTGAGTCTGAGCTGGACAGTTAATGAAGTGAATTAATGAAGCAACCGCCCTTTCTTTTTGAAGGAGGGGTCTGCGGATACTGTAACTACACAACAACCGCTAACGTTCAATCTACAGAGACTTCAAAACTTTGAGACACATTGGCTCCAATTCCTGCTTAGCTCATTAATTGCAGCTTCACCTCACCTTCATTCAACAGCTCCCAAAAAACTGTCAAACGCAACCTTGCCTTCAATTTGTCTCCCCTGCGAGATTTGAGACCGGCGCGCGCTTGAGCATCTTCATTGCTAGCGTGATTGAACCATCCTACGCAAGATCTGGACGCTTTGGTGAAAGAGTTGCTTGTCCATGTTCATTGTTTTGACGGTTCCGTCGTTCGTCGCTTAAAACTTGGTCCAAAGGGTCATAGTCCCTCAGGAAACGGACTTTTATTGTTTTTGCACTCGATGATCCCAATCCTGTACTAGGGTCGTTCGTTATCTTTGTTAGCATTGTGATTTGTTCTGTCATGTTTTGTTTTATGAGTGTATGCCCATTTTTCCCACAGCAGCCAAGGCTACAGGAACATGACACTCGAGATGATCTCCTGGCTGTTTGCGTGCTTGGCGCTTGAGAAACTCTCATCAACACTCATCTCAGGTAAGATAAGTAGTAAGTAGTACAGTATGCGCGGCCGGCCCTGTGACAAACTACATGTCTTTTGGCAGACCACTCCAGAAAAAGCCAAGGTTGAGTCTGAGTTGCGGCTGGGCTGAAAAAGAGATGAGATCTGTGTGGCCTGGTCTTGCGGTGCGCAAGCTCTGCTTGTTTTTGCTGGGCCTGATGCCAGCTGACCAGCATGTGAGCAGAAACAATCAATCGCGGTCATTTTATCAAATTATAGTTCATACACTCATGTAACACGTGCGATGTTTACTTCATACGCAAGTGGTTGCGTGCGCAGCTGCGCGTGAAAACGCGCAACCAACTTCGAAAAACACATCATATTTGGACAAACAAATCAGGTGTGGAAAAAACAAAACATCTCGGCACACACACTTTCGCCGCAAAGTCTGAGTGTGCTAGACCGAAGTGGACCACACTGCGCGCCCGCCACACCGGATGCGGCATCGCGCGCGCCGTGCGCGCACCGCGCGCACACCGCACGCGCGTCGCACGTGCACCGCGCACACACTGCGCGCACCGTACGCGCACCGTACGCGCACCGTACGCGCACCGTACGCGCACCGTACGCGCACCG